CAGCGACAACCAATAGGAGCGAGACAATTTCAAAAAAATTAAGGAATATAATCCATTCATATGGACAAATAAAAACACTTAATTAGTAATGGCAACGATTTATCATTCGATTAAATGAATCGATTACTTTTTTTCCAATTTACGATTTAGTTGTATCGTAGCTATGTTTGTAATTAATCGATTTTTAATCGACTAATTGTAAAATAATCGTAAAAATATTTTCAAGAAATGTGAACATTCTTTTTTGCTAACTGCATTAACTTTACTCGACCCGAAGTTCAAAAAATTCATTTCAAAGATCCGTTAGCATTGGCCTCAATAATGAAATTCTTGCGAAATGAAACAATAGCCCTGTTCGCGTACGCACTATCCAGTAAATCCAGTACTAATTTTACTGGTTTTTTACTGGATGTCGTTTTCGTACGCAAAAACTCGCAAGAAACTGGCAAAAGAGGGGAAATCGAGAGAGCAAAATTGACAGCTGAACTTGCAAGTTTTACTGGATAAATTTTTAGTAGCAACTATTTGCTAGTAAGAAAAACAGCTGATGGCATGATGCTTATTGTAAATCACATTAACAAAATAATTTTTTGTGGTGCTTTTAGAGTTGCAGTTGACAAAATAAACCTATTTAAATATATAATAAGATGGAAAACACTAGTTTTCTAAGAAAATTGCATCGGAAAATAACAAATTACTCAGCTGTTCATAAAACTAGCAACTTCTTGCTGGTTTTGCGTTTTCGTACTTTCTTGCATATTTCACTCATTGGCTTACTCTCCGAAATTTGGTTACTGGCAAGTTACTGGATATTTTTTGCTGGAGAATACGAAAACACAACTAATGTGCGCAGATGATTTTATGAAAACGGGTAGAGAATCGTCACCAGAGTGTCCAGATTGGCCGATTTAGCGCTAATCTAACGATTTTTTTGAATATATGCTCGTAAAAATTTAGGAAATCGCCGCGATTTTTTACCTTCAATTCAATTTTTTTGTGCTTATTTTTTGTGTTATTATAGCTTTTATTTTATTTTTAGCGCCCAGCACTTAAAAGCGGATTGTGCGATTAAACAATTAATATGAGTTATAATAACTTTATTAATAGCGCAGTCCTATTGGGAAATGTGTTAATACAAATGTTTTTTAAAAGTATGAATATTATTAAAGAGATTTGTTTGTACATTAATGTTATATAAGTGATTTGTGTTATTTATTATTACCTTGAAGGTATTATATTCGTTTTTGGTTTTAAAAACAGCATTAAACAAGATCTCATTTTTAAAATAAAAGATTATTTAAGCCAATTTTATGAACTTTGCGATTTTTTTCAGAAATGTATTTTTTCTTTTTAAACAATCTGGATTCCCTGGTCGTCACTAGAATCAGTAGAAAATGAAATGAAAACGCTTATCAAAACTTTTGTTTTCCTATTCTTGATTAAATAATAAATAACAACAAAACGTCTTTTTGGTTGTTTGTGTTTTCGACAAGGTAGGAGTATGATGTATTGTGGAACGATTTTCCGTCATCCCTTGTCAAATTTGGTTTGGAGACAACCCGGTTTCGACGTTGTGTCATCTTTAGTGTCATTTTTCGTTCTGAATAGTTCGTGTTTCCTTCTGCTTTTATGTATTCGTGTTACTATCTGTTTTAAAAACTTGCTAGAGATATTTACGATTTCTTCACACATAGTGCTAAAAGGGTGAATGAATTTGCCGAGTTTCAAAACTACGTTGGTGTTAAAAGTCATAAAATTTTTCCAGTGTCGAACGTTTTGCTAGTTATCGCTACTATCGCAAACTCGTAATTGTTTATTGTTCCAGTAGAGCGTGTTGCAATTATTTTTCATATCTTGTTTCGATGACGGTGTGAACCAAGCGCGAGCTATTGCCAAAAAACTTGATTCCGCGCCAATAAAAATTTATTATTAATTTTTGTCAAATATGTTGGATAATGTCAATAGAATGAACATAGAATTTCAAAGTGAATCATACAGATTGTATAAGTTATATAAAAATTTTGAAAGTAACTTTATACTTATATTGTCGTTTATGGTCAAACTAAAGGCCGGTTGTTGTATGGTTATCACTATTTACCGGTTAAGCATCATTATCGACGTTTTAGACATTATGCATATAACATGTGGTCGATAAAGCAGTCGCTGTATTTAACCCTAGCTTCTACCTCCGATTAGTGCTAATCCGATATTGAACAACCGGCCCTAGACTGTATACCAACTAACCCAGCTGATATAGAAGTTTGTAACTCAGATTATGATTTACCTATTAAGGAAGTATATATTACTGTGCCGCACAGACGTATATATAAACAGAACATTTAAGTAAAGTTCAAATTTTAAAAATAAAAAAATATTCAGTATTGTTGTATTGAACTTTGTTTATAAATAAAAAAGATATTAACTTTAACAGTGAAATTTTTAAGAGCTTTGCATGTATTGATGCATAGTCATATAAAGAAAGCGCTAATTCAACATTTTTACCAGTTTTAGACAATTCTCCTAACTTTTAAAAAAAGCGGCAAAAAGAAATTTTTTATACAATGGCAACTTTTGAAATTCGATAATAAAATAGATATC